GGCCGTCCCTTTTCGTTAGTGCATACTTGCATGTTTACTACATTTCATGCATTTTCCTTAGTTTTTATCATTTGGCATGCTCCTCGAACCCCTTTTCCCCTCATTTTAGGATTTTTACACCTCATGCTAGTCATAGGGTACATTTGTTTGAAGAGTCCCCTTTCGATAAGGGAAACGAGCGAGTGTGGCTCCAAAATAGCCTTAGCACGCTAGTTCTCCTTTCTAATCAAAGGGAAAATTAAAGTCACAAAGTTAGGAGTCCCCGTACCCATTTTGCTTGCATTCCTCTAGGGTTCATGCATTTCATTTATTCGCTATCCTATACACTTCTACCTTATATTCTATCCCTTTTTTCACATTCTCACTTCACACTACTTTTGGACGTTTTCACTTCACTCACACACATGCACTTTATGTTATTTTCACATTATCATTCTTTACTCACCTTACCTTGTAAATACATTTGCACACCTTCACTTACATCCTATTATTTTTATCACTTTTCTCACTTCACACAAACTCACATTTTCACATGGCATGCATTCCACTCATTTTTACGTCATTTAGGATTATGTGTGACCTCTCCAAAGGATCATTATTGGGCTTCACAATTAATGTGATTGGCACCACTCAACCTTCGAAGAGAAATTTCCCCCATGTCCCCCTAGGTCTAGGTTTTTGCATTCATATAGTCATATCCAACACGCGATACATACCTTGGGTAGAAAAATTAGGAAAAGTTGGGTTAAGTCACGCAACTAGCCTTGGCTAGGGTGAGGGAGTGCCTTAGGCCTTGCCTTTGCCTTCTCCCTTATCAAATGTGACCCCCGATCCCTCTTTTTGGTTACGTAGACCCAAAAGTTCTTTAAAAGGGTTTATTTACTTTTTTTCATTCAAAAAACAAAAAATCATTTTTTGGTGACTTGGTACACCCTAACTCTATACCAAGTGGCGACTCCATTTTCATTAAAAAACCTTTTTTTGAACTTTGTTTGGCCAAATCGTCGCATTCTTAAGTCCCATGGCCTTTTACTTTTCATTTCGCACACGTTCACATGTATATCATACACACTACTCACTCTCACACACACTCACACTCACATCAAAAAGTGGGGCGCGACAGTAAATTTGCCCCATTTATATTCACAATCAATAAAAGGATATTTAATTGAAAAAGCTTTAAAAGAGAAAATAAACATATACTAAATTCACCTTATTATTTTAAAAAATGTAAATAAATTTAAAACATCTAAAATTTACAAATTAAATACATTTAAATGAAGCATAATTAGTAATTAAAGAGGAGAAACAATTGAAATTAAGAAATAAAAAATATTAGGGATTGAATTGAAAATAAAAAAGTTTTGAGGTCAAATTACAATTCTTAAAAGACTGGGGTCAAAATTAATTAAAAATAAAAATTATGGGTCAAAATGTAATTAAATTAATGGCCTAAATGAAATAAATTTAAAATTTTTTGGGCTATAGTAAAATTATTCAAAAAATTAGGGTCCAAATAGTAAAAATCATTTCTGATTTGAGAAAATATGAAGAAACAAATTGGGTCATTATTTTATTTAGTCTTTAGGTTGGCATATTTTAGCCTGAAAGAAAGGTGCGGGCCATTCCATAAAAAAAAAAAGGAAACTCAATTGAAACTTACATAAAATTAAGCATAATGAAAATATTGGGCTTAACTTCAAAATCCAATCACAAACCCAATAAAAAGTAAAAACACAAGCTTAAGTAAATTAAAAGAAACAGTCCACTTTTTTTCTTCCTTTTTCTTTCTTTTCTTTTTCCTTTTTTCTTTTTTTTTCTTCTTCTTCCTCTCTTTTCTTCTTCCTCACCTTTGGTCGGCTGAATCTTATCCTTACCGGCAATCATGGCAGATGCCAACAACGGCGCCGCCACAGACCATCACCGGCTGCCGGTCACTGACGACCTCTTCGATCGCAAAAATTCACCAAATTACACCTTCCCACTCTATTTTTTGCGTAGAATCCGTTTTCGACCTTATTTTTTGTAAAAAAAAAAAAATGAACCAAAAGTGGTTAAAAAATGGCAAAATGTAGTCAGGTATTATTTTTTCAAAAATCACACAAATCATTACCAAAATTTGTAAAATTTATACCAAAAGAACCTTTCCTATCCACAATCCAACCATAATTCAGGTTTGTAAGAGAAAGTGCAAATACAAAAATTTTAAATCCAAATAGTAGCAAAACTCACTTTTTTCTTGTCTCAGGCATTTTATCAAATAAGAACAAGGCATAATGAAACAAAGTTTTAGTCCATCAAGTTTGCATATTCTTGACCCAACATTTTCATTAACAACCACATATCATGCTCTGGTGTATACACACAATAGCAGTACAATAATGAAAAATAAATCAATGATGAGAGGTAGCTTAAATGGGGCAATGAACCTTGAAAACATCCTAAAAAAAATCAAAACACAATTTTAAGGTGAGCAAACAAAAAACCAAAAAAAAAACAAAAATGAATTAGCAATCATATATTCCATATAGTTTTAGGTATAAATATGTAAAATCAAGAACAAGAATAGAAGAAGAAATTTTACTATATTTTCTTGGGGTTATTGAACTTGATGGTGATAGTGATGATTTCTATCAATAGTAGCTTTCTTGTGACACAGATCGAACCTGACTACACGAGACCATGCGCATCAGTCCCAGGCCCGGCAACACTACTGTATAGAAGAGAAATAGTAGAAATATTAGGACTGTTAGTAGACCCACCCCCTAATCCCCCAAACAAGTGGCAAGCCATGGAGGCTTGGCCAAGGCATGGAGTGATGACGGAGCACCAAGGGCTAATGGTGACCAAGTCATTCAAGTACCAAAAAGACTGGTCACAAGAGCTCGTGCCAAGAAATTACGCGAGTCACTTCAAGCACTTGTATGCACCATCCAAGAGAGAATTGGGCATGACTTAAAGACCATTGAAGGCTTGGAGAATGAGGATTCCACAATATACACCTTACTTCAAGTCGATAAGCCAAGTGAAGACTAGTTTTAGTCAAGGCCAAGAGTTAGTTGCCAATTGTAGTCAAGGCCGAGACTTAGTAGTCATTTTTAATTACTGTCTAGTTGTTAATTTCTGTAATAAATTCGGCCAAAACCACCTTTGGTTGGCTGAACCTTTTAGGATCTATTTTAGTCATCAGATTTGGCCCAAGGGCCTTAGTCATTTAAGTGGATCCATTCCACCGTAGGGCTAGTCTTTCGAGTCCAGTGTATGGCTATATATAGCCAAGACAAGAGACCTTTACATTCAGTTTTAAGATTAATACAATTGTGAGTGTTTTCACTTTTCTCTTCCTAAGAGAGCCCTTTTGAATAATTGAGAATCTTTCTCAATTGTTCAATTGAACTTATCAATCAAGTAACTCCTTGATTGTGGCATTCATCTACCTTTAATTTGGTTCGCTAGTTCGTTAGATAATGGGTTGAGATAGTATCAATAGCGTTCTTTATCTCGGGGATTAGATTTGGGTCAAATTTCCGCTGCCTAAGCCGTTGGCGATTGGTTGTCTAGATCGTGTCCAATTGGAATCACATCAGTTGGTAATCAGAGTTAGTCGACAACCACCAGGTTATATCTTTCCTTTTCATTTTGTTTTGAGTCACATTCGTTTGTTGTCAAATCTGATTTCGTGTGTCAAAGTAAAAAATAAATAAATTTCTAGTCGCTAGTTCTTTGTTCTTTGTTTTCCTTGTTGTCCGCAATTCCCTATTTCTGTCCGCTTTGTCTCGTGAGTTGTTGCTGTGATTCATGTCGTTAATTGCATCTTAGAGTTGTATGTTTGAGTCTGGACATCATCGAATCAAAAAAAAAACAAACAAAACAGCCACAAAAGATCCAAAAAAAAAAGAAGGAAAAGGGAGAGAGATAACAACAATTCTGGCCGCTACTTTTCTTGAAAACCGAAGTGCTCAACAAGGTTCTGATTGCATTCATTCTTAAAGTTATTGAAAGGATTACCTTGCTTCTTGGGTTTCTTGATATACATCTTTGCGTAGTGGGTCTGTTCTTGACAGTCTTGAAACTCACGGACCTCCATTCTTGGTTCTTGAGTTGCGGCTGACTTTGTGCAAACACCAAACCAAAACCTTGTGTCTTGAAGGTGAGATCCGAAATTCAAAAGAAAGAAAAGCATTCTGGTTGAAAAAAAAAAAGAAAGAAAGAAAGAAAGAGGAAACTAGATTCGGGTCACAAGAAAATAAGAAACCTTCTTGAACTAGGAAACCTCATTGACAAAGGAAACCCCCAACCGACTTGGTTTGCTAGGGCGAACCCTAACCGCCACAAAGCTGTCCACCTTGGACTTGTCTATGTGAATTGGGGAAAACCAGCCACAAACACAAACAATCACAGCCCACAAACACCCAAGAAACATTGGTTACCACCTCCCAAGAAACCAAGCAGCCGCACTACACAACTGCACTACCAGCCGCACCAACCCAACCACCCACTAGCACTTGTACCTGCTTCAGTTATAAAACCCACCTATTACACATCCCAAACAGCTCGTGTACACCATAGCCAACCTGCCCGAAACCACAAAACACTACCCAACCAAACTTTCCAGCAACACAAAGGTCCAAGCAGTCCAAACGGCATTTGACTTGTTAGAGTACTTATCCGAGTCAAACTCTCACTAATTTGCGGACTAAGTAAGTAGCATTCCAGCCTATTTTCTCGTGTCTTTGCTGTTTCCGGAGTCAATTAATTCAGTCCTAAATCTCAGCTATTCCCACGCCACTTTTGGGGACAAACTTGGTTGACGTTTGGTTGAACTACTTGAGGGAATTTCTAATTTCTTCAAGGGGGCAATCGAGGGATTTGAAAAGTGTAGTGGTGAGACATTAGAGTGCTCTAAACACTTGAGTAACACACGAGAGAGAGTGAAACACGTGAGGGAGTGAGTGAGGAATTTTTATCTTAACATTTGCTGAAGTTTTGCAGGATATACCATGGCCAATGAAAATGACATCACCGTGGCGCAATTGGCATCAAGAATGGATGCTATGTGGAGAGACATGCAAAGGAAACTTGAGCTCCACTTTGAGTCCATGCAAGAGCAAATTGAACAATTGGATCCCTCCAGAAACGCACAATTGAATCCCTCCAGAAACTCTTCTAGGAAAACTAGAGGGAAACTCACCGTGAATGAATTCAGTGACTCTAACTCAAAGGGAGAGTTCGAAGATGACAAGCGAAGGCCACGGAGAATGACACAGCGGGCTGACCATGTGGAGGATCAACTCAAGGGAATAAAATTAAAAATTCCTACCTTCCACGGCAAATCGGATCCCGAAGCGTACTTGGAGTGGGAGAGAAAGATTGAGTTGATCTTTGATTGCAACCACTACACAGAGTCTCAAAAGGTAAAGTTGGCCGCCATCGAATTCACCGATTACACCGCAGTTTGGTGGGATCAACTCGGCATCAAACAACGAAGGAATAAGGAACCGGCCATTCGGACATGGGACAACTTAAAACGAATCATGAGGAAACGCTTCATACCCGGTTACTATCACAGGGATTTGCATCACAAATTGCAAACCCTCACTCAAGGTAGTATGACGGTTGAAGACTACTTCAAAGAAATGGAACTGTCCATGATGCGGACTGATGTTCACGAAGATGAGGAGGCCACCATGGCACGATTTTTGGGAGGATTACGGCCTGACATTGCTGACATCGTGGAGCTTCAACACTACCTTGATATGGGAGAACTCTTGGACAAAGCTATCAAGGTAGAACGGAGGTTCAAGAGGAGGGGAACGGTCATACAAAACTCCAACTTCCAATCTGGAAATTGGAGAAATACACCCTTCAAGAGGGAGGATCACTCCTCGAGTGGCCCACACTTTGCAAAGTCGAATGGAAATTCAAGGGGGACTTTGAGGCCGACTACACTACCTTCCAAACCAACTTCAAGGGAGGATTTTAAATCCCAACCAGAGGTCTCTAAATCAAGGACTCGTGACACCAAATGCTTCAAGTGTCAAGGGTTTGGGCACATTGCTTCCCAATGCCCCAACCAACGGACCTTGATCATGTTACCCAATGGCGAGTTATTGACCGATGATGAAGACGGGAAACATGAGGGAATACCGTCCTTGGAGGGGGAAGAGGACGAGCTTGATGAGATACCTGTCAATGACACGGTTGGATGTCTAGTGGCAAGGTGAGCACTAGCTATTCAAGCTAGTCGAGATGAGCTCCAACGAGAAAACATCTTCTACTCAAGATGTCATATACACAACAAGGTTTGTAGCCTAGTCATTGACCCAGGGAGTTGCACTAATGTTGCAAGTGCACTAATGGTGGAGCGACTCGACTTACCAACAACTGACCACCCGCGTCCCTACAAACTCCAATGGCGAAATAATAGCGGCGAGGTACGTATCTCCAAACAAGTCTTAGTTACTTTTCGCATTGGTCGATATGAAGATGATATTGTATGCGATGTAGTACCTATGTAAGCTGCACACATCCTTTTAGGCCGTCCTTGGCAATTCGATAAGAGAGTTATTTTTGATGGTTTTCTAAATAAATACTCCTTTTTGCATAATGGTAAGAAAATTGCACTTGCACCTCTCACACCACAACAAGTGCATGAGGACCAAGTTAACTTACAAAGGGAGTATGATATGCATGCCACTAGTCAAAAACAACCATCAAAAGGAAAAGTAAAAGAGATAGCCGAGAACCCTAAGGATAAGAGTAAGCCTACTCGAACCATTGAGCTAGGGAAAGAAAGAAAAACTAGCATGCTAGCTCGAGTGAAAGATGTGAGGAAAGCTTTACATTCTAACCAAGTTTTGCTTATATTGATTTGTAAGGAAGCTTCACTCACTAATGAGCTTGAAACTTCTCTGCCTAGTATTGTCACTAACCTTTTACAGGAGTATCATGATGTGTTCCCCGTGGATATACCTAATGGATTGCTACCTTTGAGAGGGATTGAACATCAAATTGATTTCATCCCTGGGGCTTCCTTGCTAAACAAGGCACCGTATAGGACTAATCCCGAGAAAACTAAGGAACAACAAAGGCAAGTAGAGGAGTTACTTGGCAAAGGATGGATTCGTGAGAGTCTAAGCCCCTGTGCTGTACCCGTCCTACTTGTGCCTAAGAAGGATGGAGGATGGAGGATGTGCACTGATTGTCGAGCTATTAACGCCATAACGGTAAAGTATCGTCATCCCATACCTCGTCTAGATGACATGCTTGATGAATTGCATGGTGCTATCATTTTTACAAAAAATTGATCTAAAAAGTGGATACCATCAAATTCGTATGAAAGATGGAGACGAATGGAAAACTGCTTTTAAAACTAAACATGGCTTATATGAGTGGGGTTAGTCATGCCTTTTGGCCTAATTAACGCACCTAGCACTTTTATGAGGTTAATGAACCATGTTTTGCGTCCTTTCATTGGTAAATTTGTGGTAGTGTATTTTGATGATATCCTAATTTATAGTAGGAGTTTAGAAGAGCATGCAATACATTTACAAGCTGTCTTAGATGTACTTCGAAAGGCAAGGCTCTACGCCAACCTTAAGAAGTGTACTTTTTGCACTGATCAACTTGCTTTTCTAGGATATGTTATACGTGCACAAGGTGTACAAGTGGATCAATCAAAGGTGAAGGCTATAAATGAATGGCCAACACCTTCCAATGTAAGTGAGGTGAGGAGTTTCCATGGCTTGGCAAGCTTCTACAGGCGTTTTGTCAAGGACTTCAGCACCATAGCTGCACCACTTACATCTATCATCAAGAAGAACTCACCCTTTCAATGGGGGGAAGAACAAGCTAAGTCTTTCCAATTACTTAAACACAAGCTCACACATGCACATGTTCTAAGTTTACCTAACTTCGACAAAACTTTTGAGATAGAGTGTGATGCTTCTGGTATAGGTATTGGGGCTGTTCTACTCCAAGAAGGTCGACCGATCGCATACTTCAGTGAAAAGCTAAATGGAGCCGCCTTGAACTACTCAACCTATGACAAGGAAATGATGGCATTAGTTCGAGCTCTCCAAACTTGGCAACACTACCTTCGACCTCGAGAGTTCGTCCTGCATACTGATCACGAATCTCTCAAGCACATCAAGTCACAAACCAAGCTGAGTAAACGCCATGCAAGATGGATAGCCTTCATCGACACCTTTGCATTCGTGATCAAATATAAAACAGGTAAGTCTAATGTAGTAGCTGATGCACTTTCTAGGAGATATACACTACTTACTACATTGGATGCCAAATTACTAGGATTTGAATATCTCAAGGATCTTTATGCCACTGACCCAGATTTTGGTGAGATTTTCAACTCCTTGCCATGAGACACTCGTGAGCATTACTTTCTTTCACAGCGGTTCTTGTATTACAAGGACAAATTGTGCATTCCACTCAGCTCCATGCGACCCCTGTTGGTTCGAGAAGCCCATGGAGGAGGACTTATGGGCCACTTTGGAGTTACTAAGACATTGTCCACCCTTCAAGAACACTTCTTTTGGCCACGCATGAAGAGAGATGTTGAACGACATATACAAAGGTGTGTAACTTGTCACCATGCAAAATCAAAGGTAAATCCTCACGGACTCTACACTCCTTTACCTATCCCTCATGCACCTTGGGTTGACCTATCTATGGATTTCGTACTTGGATTACCTAGAACTAGACAAGGTCATGACTCTATCTATGTTGTGGTTGACCGTTTCTCTAAAATGGTACACTTTATACCTTGCCATAAGACCGATGATGCTAAGCACATAGCTGATCTGTTCTTTGGAAACATAGTACGTTTACATGGCATGCCTCGTACCATTGTATCTGATAGAGATGTAAAGTTCCTTAGCTACTTTTGAAAAACTTTGTGGTGTAGACTAGGCACTAAGTTGCTTTTCTCTACTTCTAGTCACTCACAAATTGATGGACAAACTGAAGTAGTTAATAGAACTTTGTCTACTTTGTTGCGTGCCATAATAAAAAAGAACATCAAGACTTGGGAAGATTGCTTACCGCATGTTGAATTTGCTTACAATCGCACTGTACACACTGCTACACAATACTCCCATTTTGAAATTGTCTATGGCTTTAACCCTCTCACCCCTTTGGACTTATCTCTTTTACCTGATCATGAGAGAGTTAACATGGATGGTAAGAAAAAGGCAGATTTCGTCCGAGACCTACCTGCTAAAGTTCGAGCCAACATCGAGAAGCGCACACTCCAATACATGCAAAGTGCAAACAAAGGACGTCGCAAGTTTGAACCCGGCGACTGGGTCTAAATCCACATGCGCAAGGAGCATTTCCCCTTCAAAGGCGCAACAAACTCCTTCCAAGGGGTGATGGTCCCTTCCAAGGCATGGAGAAAATCAATGATAATGCCTATAAAATTGACCTTCTAGGTGAGTATGGGGTACATGCTACATTTAATGTTGCTGGCTTGAGTCCCTTTTATGCAGACGATGAGCTTGATTTGGGGACAAATCGCCTTCAAGAGGAGGGGATTGATGACGGAGCACCAAGGGCTAATGGTGACCAAGTCATTCAAGTACCAAAATGACCGGTCACAAGAGTTCGTGCCAAAAAATTACGCGAGTCACTTCAAGCACTTGTATGCACCATCCAAGAGAGAATTGGACATGACTTAAAGACCATTGAAGGCTTGGAGAATGAGGATTCCACAATATACACCTTACTTCAAGTCGATGAACCAAGTGAAGACTAGTTTTAGTCAAGGCCAAGAGTTAGTTGCCAATTGTAGTCAAGGCCGAGACTTAGTAGTCATTTTTAATTACTGTTTAGTTGCTAATTTCTGTAATAAATTCGGCCAAAACCACCTTTGGTTGGCCGAACCTTTTAGGATCTATTTTAGTGATCAGATTTGGCCCAAGGGCCTTAGTCATTTAAGTGGATCCATTCCACCGTAGGGCTAGTCTTTCGAGTCCAGTGTATGGCTATATATAGCCAAGACAAGAGACCTTTACATTCAGTTTTAAGATTAATACAATTGTGAGTGTTTTCATTTTTCTCTTCCTAAGAGAGCCCTTTTGAATAATTGAGAATCTTTCTCAATTGTTCAATTGAACTTATCAATCAAGTAACTCCTTGATTGTGGCATTCATTTACCTTTAATTTGGTTGGCTAGTTCGTTAGATAACGGGTTGAGATAGTATCAATAGCGTTCATTATCTCGGGGATTACATTTGGGTCAAATTTCCGCTGCCTAAGCCGTTGGCGATTGGTTGTCTAGATCGTGTCCAATTGGAATCACATCATGGAGGTTTCTCCAAACATTGTTAGAAGTATGTAGCATGACCTAGAGGCTTCCGGATCTCTTTAGGTTGTTCAAGAGGATTGTACATAAGAAGCTTAAGACAAGAACAGTACGGAACCTTCTAGAGGTTCACACTTGTGTAGCATAGAAAAGGGAACGTTCAAGAGATTAGAGGAACATTATAGAAGAACAAGTTGTATAGCTTAGTTGGTAGAAGAGTCTAAAGTCATCTCGAGTCTTGAGGGCTTTGCCTATAAATACAGTAAGACCTCTACATTTATAACCAAGTTGGAAAGTTGGTAAAAAAATCAAGAAGTAGAGAGCTCTTTTGAGCAATAACCTTTATCTTTAGCTTTCCTTTCGTAGCCTTTACTTTACGTACGTTTTCTAACGCTTCCGCATAACTGACACTGCTTGAATGCCCAAGAGGTTAGATTGAACTAGTGATCTTCAAGTAAGGAAGGCTAAACGATTGCTAGTGCCACACGAGTCGCTAAAACTATGACAGTTGGCCTGTGATAGCTAGTATTAAAGCTGTGCTTGATACCGTGGGTTTAGGGCACGAGTGAATGGCCACTACATCAGACGCTAGCATGCAACGAGAGGTCTAAGAGAAACATGTCCCATGAGAGTTGGAGAGGGTTACTAAAGGCAAGGGCCGTAGGGACAAGTCCATTGCTCAAGAGCCGTTGGCTGTGTTTGAGAAAAGGCTAGCTTGGGTGGAGCTAACCGTTGCTGATCGCCATGACCACTGGGGTGAGTTAAACAAACTCATGACACAACCTGAGGTGGAAGAGTTGCGTGGTGACATGCAAGTAATACTAAATGAGGTCATGGGCAGGTTTTTCAAAGGGGACGAGGTGATTAGGTCATGGTGGAATCTCTCCAGGATGAGGTTGCCAAGTTCAAGGTGGAGCTTGATGTGTCTAGAGCACAGTTGGCCAAGTTTGCGAATACAATGATCGGGAAATCTTCATAGGTTCGGGAGGAGCTACAAAGGTTTTGCTTGGAGTTGGACGAATTAAGGACACAAGGGACAACAGGAGCCGTTGTGTCCGCACTGAGGGTCGAGGTGCCATGACTAGATACTTATCGTGGAGCAAGAAAAGCGCGCGACATCGAAAACTTTCTGTACTGGTCGAAATGATATTTTGACGCACTTGGCATTATCGGGGATACAGCCAAGTTGCGAACAGCCCCACTATACTTAAAGGATTCGACTTTAGTATGGTGGAGGAGAAGGTGCGACGACGTAAGGAGAGGGTCCAACACCGTCACTACCTAGGACACATTCAAGAGCGAATGGAAGAAGCAATTCCAACCGACGGACACTGGAGATGAAACTAGGGCCAAGTTTCGTCATTTAGAACATAGGGACGGGCATATCCACGAGTACGTGAAGCAGTTCTCTGAACTCTTGTTGGAGATACAGGATATGTCGCCAAAGGATGCCTTCTTCACGTTTATTGATGGTTTGTAACTATGGACCAAGATTCAACTCCAAAGATAACACGTGAAGGATTTAGCTGAAGCAACGGCCATAGCTAAGCAGTTATACGAGATCCCATGGAGGGATAATAGGAAAGACAAGGGAAAGAGACCTGACCAAGGCTCAAGTGGAGGAAACTGACATTTGACCCTTGCGAAAGCACACGAAGGGTCTAAGATTCCTTCTACGATGGATCAAAACAAATGGACTCTAGGTAAGAAAGGCAAGACCGAGGACTTCAAGTGCTACATATGCCAAGAGTCATCACACTTTGCAAGGGATTGCCGAAACAAAAAGGTGCTATATGCTATCATTCAAGAACGTAAGCATGAGGAAGAACAGTGCACGATCTTGTGCACGAGGCTACGTGTGGTCGAAGCCAAAGTGGACAACCAAGAGCGAGGGCAAATGTACGTCGATTCAAAAATTAATGGATGCAAGGTGAAGGCCTTGGTGGACATAAGTGCGAACATCAACTACATGAGTGACGACATCGCACGGCATTGGGTCTAAGGTGGGAGCCATGCAAGGGTCAGTTTAAGGGTGTCAATGGCAAATGGGTTTTGTTGGATGGGATAATGGCATGCATAGCGGCCAAGTTAAGGTAATGGAACAGTACGATGAAATTTACTATTGCTCCAATGGATGATTATACAGTAGTCTTTGAAATGAAATTCATAGACTACTTGAAGCCGATCATGGGACTACATAAGGGCACCATGCTCATTACGTAAGGAGGGGCGCCTTACGTCATGAATGTTTTCTATGAGAATGAGGGAAGCCTGCAACAACTCAAGGGTGAAGTTGTGAAGGGCCGAGGAACAAGCACGGACAAGATTGGAGTAGGGACTCCAATGCATGAACCAGGAAATAAGGCAACGAAGTGCAAAGCGGGTGTACGGGGCACCATGGCTCCAGTAGTAGCTACGTTTGGGGATGTCTACGACCATATACGAAAGGGGCAATAGATTGATCCACAAGCCCAAATGTTAAAGAAGTTGATGGCCAAAGGTAATACCATCGAGTTTTGGCTTAACGAGAAAGGGGTCCTTTACAAGTAGCATGCCGTGTATGTGCCAGACTGGGCAACATGTGCAAGGACATCATAAGGGAGTATTGGGCTGAGGAAACATGATCTAAGTATGCACTAAATGCAATACAACGACACTTCTTCTAGCTGAAGCAAAATGAGGACATTAACATGTACATGGTATGGGACAAGTTTTGATGACTGTTAGGAGCCCCGAAGGCATCAAGAACGATGCCTTGTTCAAGTGAGAGAGGATGGTATGATCGCACCTAACCGTGCGCGTCCGTCCTAGGCCAGCAGACATGCACTACTATATATAAGAGAAATAGTAGAAAAATTAGAACTGTTAGTAAACCCACACCCCAATCCCCAAGCAAGTGGCAAGCCAAGGAGGCTTCTCCAAGCATTGTTAGAAGTGTGTAGCATGACCTAGAAGCTTTTGGATCTCTCTAGGTTTTTCAAGAGCATTGTAAATAAGAGGCTTAAGACAAGAATGGTACAGAACCTTCTAGAGATTCACACTTGTGTAACATAATGTAAG